AGCAAAGTCTATTATCATTCGACARAATATTCTTTAGAAGTTATATTTTGAAATATTGTACGTGACTACGTCTCCATCCTTTGAGTCTAATTTTCGTTGAATCGTTCGAGCATTTTGACTGGTAAATGACGAACGACACGCCTGATGTTTTGCTCTAAGRCCTGAATTAAAGAAGGATTGWCTGCATAGACTTTAAACTTCACAGATTCTCAMAGGAAAAACTCTAACGCTGTGATATCACATGATCTTGGTGGCCAATCGTCTGGCCCAATATCTGAAATTATCTGCTCACCGAAGTTTTCTCTCAAAAWCTCCATTTATTGATGCGTTGTGTGAGAAGTGGCGCCGTCTTGTTGAAACCARATGTYGCAGAGATCAAGAGTTTMAATTWCARGCATCAAATAGTCGATTACTAGGGCGCGATAAYRGTCGCCATTGACGTTTATGTTCTCACCRRCWWCATTTTTGAAGAAATATGGACCGTTGATGYCACTGGCCTACAARTCACACTAAACCGTTGTTTTTTTCTSAATGAAATARCAGATCTCTTCAGATTGCTTTTCGTTSCRAATTCGGGAATTTTGCTTGTTTATATACCCACTGAGCAAGAACTGGGCCTCATGACAGAAAAAATTTTGACTTGAAAACGGATCTTCTTGAAACTTTTCAAGATGTCGCTTGGGCATTTCGATCGGCTTCAGTCTTTGCAAAAGCTGTATTTTGTACACGTTCATTTAAGATCTCAACGTAAAATGCTTCAAGCTCTTCCACACATCAGTGCGGGTTGCTTCGAACGGCGTCGAATCGACTCTCGAGTACACTCTCAGTACACTACGGCTGCTTTATATTCTTCATTGCGTGCTGGACGTGCTCTATTCGTGCGAATAATATGCAATAATGAATCTTGATACCCAGATTTGTGATGATTTTGAGAATAGTACGTTTTTGTTTGCCATAAATGAAGGAAGATGTTCGTAATACAGTTGAACGATTTGTAAACGTTGTTCAAGCGTACGTCTTTCCATAATTAAATGAAAAACAATACCGAAAAAAATGGCATGAAAAGTTCACACAACTCACGCATGATCTGCCAAACAAAAAAAAAATAATGTAAAAAGTACCTATTTTGAATCACCCTTAAAAAGAAAATTTTCTAAAGTGTATGGTGTAATAAAAAGTGGAGCAAATACTTACATACATATATACCTTAACATCTCAAATGCATGCTGTGGTACCTCTTAATATATACATAAGTTACTTATGTATGCTTATATCTTTATACAGACAAACTCGCTATAAGCTTTTGGGCATTAGGCGCATACGAGTGAAATTATTTTTGTTTATATTTCATTTTCCGATATAAATGTTTTCACATACATACATACGTACATATGTTCGTATAGGCATACCTTTAAATTAGCTCCAATTTGCGTTCTGTAAACAGTGCAAAATTATAAATTACTTTTAGTTTCCACCATCCGCATGCTTGTGTATGCATACATACCGTTGCATATATGCCGTTACCCTTGCGTTTATAAATTTTGTTTACACTATTACTGTCATGTAATAATTAAGAAATCATTATTGACGCTCCATTAGCTGAAAAAATAATAGCGGAGAGAGGTTACCGGACGGAAACGCAAAGCGATTTGCACAGCAAATAAATGCAGAGAATTCTTATAACGGGAAAACTTGCAAAAAGAAAATCAAAAGAGAAATAAAGGAAAATGAAAGTTTATCGAGGTGCAATAAGTATGTTCAATGTATATATTTAAGTTATAGCATATCAGCGATAGTTGGGAACCTCTGGCATATAATATTTTCAAAATTTAAAAAAAAACCTTGAAATTGATTGCCTTAGTAAAGAAGTATACATATTTTTTATTTAAAATAAGAAAAGTTTTTATAAATTATATGGATTATTTAAATAAAATTAATTAATTAAGTATAACTTGACTTCGTAAAAAAGACTAGGAGAGGACTATCGGAAATGCAACCAGTCTCGTTTCAAATAGTTTAATTTTTTTTAATGCATCCCAAGAGGATGGGAAATACATACAGCTGATATTAAATACATGACTGTGTTACCGAAGAATCGGTAAAGGAAGGTATGAGGTTTTGTTGGAACTAAAGTCCCACAATGGTGCAAACCTCAGTGACATGGGGTTCAAGCTTGTGCCTCGTTCGCGTCTTTCTCAAATTCGTGTTTTTCAAAAAGGTTTCCACTCTCAAACAAAGAATTTTGAAGATATCTACTTCCAATTTGGAGACACCATTTTTAGCGTCATTCTCTATTGCGCTTTCTTTTTTTTTTTTTTTTTGTTTTTTGAAATCGTCCTATTTTTTTCTGCAAAAAACTGTCAGAAAAAGGCCTTAACTCGATACTTTTTTTTCAAACCACCGCCATTTGGTCAAATATAAAAACCAAAAAAGCTTCCGGCGGATTATCTTTTTGAAATTTTTGTTTTACATAAAAATTGCGGCTGCAATCGTGGACAACGTACAGGACCTATTTTTTACGTGTCAATTCAACAATTTATTTAAAGAAAATCATTTTGTATGCATCATGAATATATTTATTTTTAAACCAATTAGTTTCAACATTAAAAAAAAGAATAGCGAAAATCTGTGATTTTTAGGGGGTCACACTTAGACGATCCCTAAAAAAATCACAATCCCGATTTGACCGAATAACAGTTATCTAAGCTAATACTCAGTTAGATTTGAGAATGAATGTATGTACATATAATTTCGGGATTTACTTAGAATACAATACGCTACATATACCATATATGGTTCTCCTTTTCATTGAAGTTTGATCAAAAGACCCAAAATTAGTTCTACATATAAGACAGAGAACGCACACAATAGCATACTGGAACTCAATCAGCACGTTATACTCATTGCTTTTTCTTTTATGACCGCAACCTCTAGAATCATTCTGATTGAAAGTAATTAGGAGAGTAAATTTTTACCTTTTCGATATTTGTATGCCTCAAATTATAAAATAGAGGCAAGTAAGGAGTTTTTCAATATGCTTGTCTAAAGAACTTTTCGGATGTCAATTTGGTTTAACTAGTGCTGTTTCGATCTTACACATTTCCGGTGTAGATAAGAAATGGATTCGGTACTAATATTTTTTTTTTTTTNTTTTTTTACTCTCCTAGCTTTCATTATTATTTGATTAGAGTAGGTTATGTGAGCTTTTCGAAAATCACATTGACACCTTAGCGATACCATGTTCAGACCGGCACTTAGTCACACGATTTCGGCCGTTGAATGGGTTATCCCACTAATCTTAAAAATTTATCACGATTTCGCCATACAAAAATGACAGTTCCAAATCACTTCATTGAAATGATTTGAAACTGATCCACGCTAAATCTCTCTGTGCGACTCTGATTTTGCGCAATCTACTTGTCAGCACTGGAAATCTGTTACATTATCACAGCTGATTTAGACACCACAAAGGGAAAAAAGGTAAACAAAGAAATTTTTTTAAAGCAATGAATCTAATTTCACCTGAAAATCGACTTAACAAATGAAAAAATGCATCCATTATTTCTATTATATGAAAAATATTAAAAAAAAGGCGGCTTTTATTTCAAAATACTACATGACAATATTTTCTTTTGATAAATATTATGCTTAAATGTAATCTAATCTTTTAAATTTTCGGTCTGAACATGGTATAGGATACATTAAAACTCTTTTATAGCAGCAAAGCGTCTTAAATCTATAATAGTTGACAGACGGCAGCGTTAATCCGCATTAACAGCGCACTTAATCAGTTCCAAATTTGTAGGTGACAGACGGCAGCTATGTGAGTTTGAAACTCTGGTAAATAGCTGATTGTCATTTTTATAATATTTTCAATGAAAATGGATAAAAAATAAACATTGGGGTTTTTAGACGCTCAATTGTTACAAAAACACTTTTTATTACAAAACATTACAAAAAAAAAACAGCTATTAGTGTTGCTTGTTTTCCATTCACAATAGATTACAGTTGGTCATTTTTAACAAAGTTACAAACGAAAATGCAACTAACTCTCTAAAATTTTGAGGATTAATTGGGGGTTAGCAACGGAGTCAACTTTATTAACTCCTGAATTAATCCGGATTAATGCAGTTAATATGGATTAACGCTGCCGTCTATCAAAGCTATTATTACAAAACGGCATCGACTTATTATTTTATGAACATGCCGTATATCCAGATGGCAATGTCAGAAATCCTATAAATTATATACTATATGTATATAAATGATCAGAGTAATGAGTTGAGTCGATTTAGGCATATCCCGTCTGTCTGCATATCTAGATATCGCAATGCAATTTTGCACATGTCCTTTTCTTCCCTGCACTTTTGTCAGAAACGTCGATATCGGATCCCTATAGCACATGCAAGCTGAATGATAGAGATCACTTTTTTTGTACAGAAAGCTCTTTTATTTGACAAGTCATCTTCACGAAATTTGGCTTGCATTATTATCAGAAACAACGGTAAAATTTCCGAAGAAATTGCTTACATTGGATCAATATAGCATATGTAGCTGCTATAGACGCTGTTCAATCGATATCAATATAAAAATATTTTTATACCTTTGATGCCACAAGAAATGTAGTTCTGAAGGGTAGTGTAGTAGCGTAGGTTATTTGAGGTTGGATAAGATTAAAACAGCTTGATTGTATGTAAGAGTATGATTGTGTGAAGCTTTATGGAATCACATTTCAGCACACATACATACATATGTATAGCGAAAAAGCAAAGCGCTTTGAATTTATCGCAAAGCAGACTCGACGATTGCTATGGTTTCCGATTCCAAGACGTAACAGTTAGTATTATACATATGTATAAAAATGCTGCTTAGTATCTATAGTATAATTTTTCCATTTTTTCATCTAAATATTTAATTATGTTTATTTGAATATTTTATTTATTTATATATAAATGCATCTAAGTATCTTAAATCATTAAATCATCTCCCTTTACTTTCAGAACAACCATAAATTAAACAACCAAACTAATGGCAGTACAACAGCAGCGATGCTTGTCTTTCAAACACGGACAAACCAAGCGCCAATTGAAATAAATTGTGCTACGAAAAGTTAGAGCGAGTTTAGAAGAACTTTCAACGAAATTATATAGATAAATTCTTGCTGTTCAAATTCAAATAATTTAAACTAAAATTCTAACCACAAAAAATCACTTTTATGCCTACGCAATATAAAAAGTAAACATATTTCATTAAAATTCTAGCTGTCTAAAAGGCCAACACACATACTACATTAAAAAGCCTACAAAAACAACAACTATGCAGCTTCGTAGTTTAGTGCAGCACAACTCGCACAGTAGAACGATTAGAGGCAGTCGGTGAAGCGCACATGCTTGATTAGTCCAAAAATAAATTTAAATCAAATAGATATATGTATAAATATTATTTTTAAGTAGAAGCAGCATTAGCATACATAGACATATATATAAACGATACACACACATCCTTAAAGCAAACTGCATAAATAAAGTAATTGTAATCAGAGCATTAAGTAATTAAAGCAAAAGGGCAAATTCGAGCGCTAACTAGTACGCAAAATACTTTACAAATACATACATACATATATACAATATATAAATAGCAACAAAGCACGAGCTTCCTAGTAGAGACCTCAGCAATTAAGAAAATATGAAAAGCAAAAATTAACACATAACAAAAAGCGTAAAATTATTCAAGCAACAACAAAGTACACACATTCATTGCGCCACACGCAGTTTTGTACATAAATCGAAAGAAAGAAAGAAAGCTGAAATCCGGCAACTGCAAGGCACCATACTAGCACAGAACCGCATTGCAAAACATAGCATATTTAGATAGAGAGTAAGAGCCATCAGCTTGTAAGATAAACTCACGTACTCAAGAAATCACACGCTTCAATTGAGCCGGTGGGCGCACGCTTAATTTAGAAAGGAGTAGCCACGCAAACATCAACTGCAAAGCTTAAGTGAGAAGTCGCGCACAGCAACAGCAAATGCCGACACGCCTACAAACCACCTACACAAACACAGCCACGCAAAAGTTATAGAACACACACTCGCTCAAGTCCAAAGCAACCGTCCAATTTGCGAGCCACAACGGCGACAACGAAATACAAACCACCAAACGACGGTTGAACACTTGGTGTTGTAGAGTTGACACGGTCGACTGCGAAAGCTTTACGCAGCATTACTTTACTTATGGCAAAAGAACACTGTCGCAGCGTTTAAAATTACCAAAAGAAACTTAAACACTCATACATAAACGAAAGAAAGAAGAAGAAGAGCACACAGGTACCGAAAATGGCGCTAATATTGGTGAACAGACAACGGTGCAGTCGGGATCGCACACTTTCGGCGATCTTCTGTCTGCTCTTGGTGTGCACAACAACGCTTAGACTTGTCCAGGGCGCTGAGACGCCAAACAACGGTAGCAGCAATAATTTGGCTGCCGTTGGCAACAAACCAAATGATGATAAAGTGACTCGTAGTACGGACGTGGCGGGGGCCAACTCGGACGTGAGTGCTGTTGCTAAAGCCGGCGGTGCCGGTAGTGGTGGTGGAGGCGATGCGGCGGCGGACGTTGGCGGTGACACACCGCAGGCAAATCAGAATAATAATGCTGGTGCTATAAGTAGCAATAATAATGGTGTGGTGGATGATGATGATGATGGTGATAATGATGGCAATGCTGATGATGCCAATGGTGGCGATAATGTCACCGCCTTGTCGCAGCACAGCGGCAGTTCATTGCAATGCAAAGACGGTCTGTTGCTTAAAGTTTGGATGCCAATTGTCAATGTGAGTACCGGTGATCGCGTTGCGCGGGGCCTTGTGTACTTCCTGGCGATGTCGTATTTGTTCATTGGCGTTTCAATTGTGTCAGATCGTTTTATGGCGGCGATTGAAGTGATCACGTCCAAGGAGAAGGAGGTAGTTATCAAAAAGAAGGGCGGCGAAACACAGGTGGTCGTGGTGCGCGTCTGGAATGAGACGGTCGCCAATTTGACGCTGATGGCGTTGGGTTCCAGTGCACCGGAGATACTCTTGTCCGTTATTGAAATGTTTCAGAAAGGTTTCGAAGCTGGCGATTTGGGTCCGGGCACAATTGTCGGCTCAGCCGCATACAATTTATTTGTCATAATAGCCCTTTGTATCGCTGTCATACCGAATGGTCAAGTGCGCAAGATCAAACATCTGCGGGTATTCATTGTAACGGCCGCTTGGTCTCTGTTTGCCTACGTTTGGTTGTACTTGATCTTGGCGCAGATTTCACCGGGGCGCGTCGAAGTCTGGGAGGGTCTATTGACATTTATTTTCTTCCCCACTACCGTCCTGACGGCTTATATAGCCGACAGACGTTTGTTGATTTATAAATATCTGGACAAGAACTATCGCATGAATAAGCGTGGCGTTATTGTGAGTGCCGAGGGCGACGCCGTACTCGAGATGAATCGTCACGAGAGCATCAAAGAGCTGGCCGAAAATGAAGAGATGAAAGACTTCGAGGATGCACGACGTGAATACATTTCAACGCTGAAAGAACTACGTAAGAAGTACCCACAAAGCGATCTGGAGCAATTAGAAATGATGGCACAGGAGCAATTGATTAATCGAGGCCCCAAATCACGCGCTTTCTATCGCATACAAGCCACCCGCAAAATGATGGGCAGCGGCAATATAATGCGCAAAGTGCAGGAGCGTGCTCTCACCGATCTCAATGAGGTGAAAGCACAGCTGCAGCGTGTCGAAGTGGAGGCCGAAGACGATGATACGACGGTACGCATCTGCTTCGAGCCCGGCCACTACACTGTCATGGAGAGTTGTGGTGAATTTGAGTTGCGCGTTGTGCGTCGTGGTGATTTATCCGGTTATACGACCGTCGACTATCAAACGGAAGATGGTTCCGCCGAAGCCGGTAGCGATTATATTGGTAAGAAGGGTGTACTCACCTTTCCGCCGGGTGTCGATGAACAACGCTTCAAAATCGAAGTTATCGATGATGATGTTTTCGAGCAAGACGAACATTTTTATGTGCGTTTAAGTAATCCGTCGGATCCGGCAATACTGGCTGTGCCAAAGGTGGCCACTGTTATGATACTCGACGATGATCATGCGGGCATATTTGCCTTCAATCAGAAGACGCATGATTTTGCTGAATCTATTGGTACATATGATTTGAAGGTGCAACGTTATTCGGGTGCTCGCGGCAAGGTGATCATACCGTTTTGGACAGAGGACGGTACTGGCAAGGCGGGCAAGGATTACGAACCAGTGCAGGGAGAGTTGGTGTTCGAAAATAACGAAACTGAGTAAGTCATAGAAATTAAAAAATATATGTAATAAAGTAAAAATCGATGTTTCTTAAAAACCTGTTGGTAAAACGATCCTATTTATAATAACAGAAATAATCATATGAAAATGTCTGTTGAGCACTAAAGACATAAACTCTTTGAAACACAAACTGATAAAGATGAGCAATATGTAGATCGTGAGATAATATAGTGCTTCCTCACTTAATTTCCACATCGATTTACGATATTTAAGTTTTCAGAAAAGCTTTATTTTTCTAGGCTACATTTTGAGGGGTTGAATTTTTTTGTAACGGGTGCCTAAACTCCGTTAGGATGGTAAGGATTAGATAAGTTGTCGTCGACGTCGTACGACGGTGGGCACAGGAAACGTTCTGTTTCGACCAAGTCGCACCAAAGGGAGAAGAATGTCAGATGGGTATGGTCAGCAGGGCATACAAAGAGATAGGCCAGTGCCATGCGGGAACTCATATTCTGGATAAGAAGGAGGTTAACCTACCACAGAGTCCACAAAGAAGCTGTGCAATGGTCACTCTCGTTTCTCGCGGCAACTCGAGAAGTGGGAAGAGTGAGTTTACTGAATGCATTATAAGTCCTTTGATGGTAGAACTTTGATATATTGAGAATAAAAAGTTAGAAGTACTCAGTTTAGCGTGCTTTTTAATGAGAGGAGAATCCATCGCAAAACGTGTTGCTTATCTACTCACGTTGTTTCGTATAAACAACTTTCAAGCTGAATTAAGGAAATAAGAGAAAAAGAAACTTTATGAATTATCATCTTAATTTTGAACGACCAGTGCACATGGCAGCTATGTGTGTAGTTGTCTAATATTGGCCAGTCCGACAAATGAGCGACTTACTTTTGGAAAATTTATGGGGGCAAACTTTCTGTGCGATTTCTCAAAAACTGGGGAATACAGATATACGGATATGACTGAGTATACTCAGCTGGTCGTGTTGATCGTTCGTGTATATCTTTTATAGGATCTCCGATGTTTCACCTTGAGTATTACAGACATCGTGACAAAGTTAATACATCCTGCTCATGGTATACAAATATAAATACTTAGAAATTAAATATTCTTAAATCCATTCTAATTGAAATAAATGGGGGAATATGGCAATTTTTGGAAGCTTCTGAATAATACAATTTGGTGGTAAGTCATTTCCAACTTTACCACATCATTTACCGTAATATTTTTATATATGTATGCAGGTGTATGAATATTTACGGAGATGATAACTAGCTGCAGCCAAAACGAATTCAACCAAAATCCAGACAAAATTTTCTGAATTCACAGGCAACTCGCTTCATCCGCCATGTGTATACATACAAACAAAAATATACTCAATTATATACATACACACATGTTGTTACAATATGAAAACGAAATATTGAAGAATATGAAACGCTTTATGAATGTATATCTGTACATATGTATGCCTGTATGTCATATACGTGTGTTTGTTAGGCCACCAACGCATTTACCGAAACCATAAAATTCCGCGAATGTCGAGGGAAATTGAATTGTACCTTGAAATCAATATCCGCAATACTACAAGGTGGGTCGAGAAGGTTGAAATGCAACCTCGCGCGCTTCCCTGTATGTTCCACAAGCACAGCATATGCAATATATGAGAGCGTGTGTGTGTGTGTGTGTGTATATATGATATATTGGTTGGTGCTCGTGCCTTGCTCATTGTCACCATGGCCTTGTATTGTGTGCGAAGAAATGAAAGAAATTACCGTTAGCAGGTGGGCAACACATTTGCTACCACTTGACCATTCAAAGCATTGACGACCGCCTCGCAGCGTTGGCGGTCACAACTCATGCAAGCACACACACACATACTTATATGCAATCACACATACTTGTATACATAAGTATGCATGTATGTTGCTATGTATGTAAGAGTGCTTATAGAACTTTGCATTGGTTCACTATCCGCTATGCAGTTGGCTCTTTAGCGAAAAACGATTTTACGAGCATGCTTTTAAGTACTCGAACGTGCTCATACGGCGGCATTTGTGAGCAGCTCACGAACACCACCAGACACATAGTCCATATGTATATATGCATGTATGTGTGTGTTTGTGCATATTTTTGCACTATGTTGTTGTGTTGGTGAATGAATGTGCCATTCATTCATTTATTGCCAAACATTTGCACAGGTTGCCAGGTTGCTTCCAGTTGGCATTCGGCAAGGCGAAATGAACAAAACTCATTTAAGTTGCGCACACATACATACGCACACTAATGCATGTATGTGTGCATATGCATACATACTATATATATTATGCGCGTGTATGCATAGCAAAGTGGTAGAAATCTAGTTTGCGTTTTATTAGACTCACTCACCTTTCCACACACAAATGCACGTCCATGTCTTTATGCACCTGTGCTCATGAACAAACGAGCGCGCACATAAAAGTCTGCAAATTGTAGTTTTTGCATAAGCGTTTTGAACTATTGTATTTAATGGTCTGCCTTATTTCGGCAAGTTAAACGCTTTGGCATTGATAAATCTGACCCATAAATTGGTAATGGCGTCTACTTGAAATATTAGTCAGTTTTTATGGTTCCTTTCAAATAATATTTCATTTGAAAGATCGGTGGAATAAGGACTACAATTTAGAAAGCTTTAATTGGACCTACTTTGACATATTATTAATACATACGAATAGCTTGTATAACAGATTTCAGTTAAATATCTAAAAAAAGCAGATACGGAGAGGTCAGAGTCATGTGGCGTTCATCTGCCTTGGCATATAATGGATATACCGATATCACTCTGCAGATTCGACATAAATTTTGAGAAACACCTAAGTTCAATACTTTTTGTAATCACTCAAGAAAAAACGTAGCTATAGCGGTTCGCTATCGGCGGTGCCGAAAAATAAGCAGCTTCTTGGGTAGAAATAGATGCGTGTACAATTTCAGATCAATATCTCAAATATACATATATATAGATTGTGAAAAAAAGTACCCCAAAATTATATATAGAATTATTCATCAATATTTGCTTTGTCACCTTCAAAGTAATCTCCACCAGATGTAATACATTTATGCCAACAATATTTCCAGTCCTCGAAACACTTTTCATAAGCACTATTTTGAATGGCTTTCAGCTCCTTCGGCGAATTTTATTTTATCTCTCCGATCGACTGCAAATAGGTTCCAAGGAGTTGAGCGATGGTATTCATTATGAATTGGCGAAAAAATTCGGTTCAAAATATTGTTTCATACCCAAAATACCCACCAAAATCATTCGAACTTACTCGTTAGAGATGTCGAGCTCTCTTTCCATCTCTTGAACATACTCTGTCAGTCGGATATTTAATTTATGAGTTTACATTAATAATGAGCAAAATTTTCGCTTAGTTTTCAAAAAAAAAAACTATTTTATTTTTTTAATTTCCATAGAAATGCAGAATTTCGATAAAAAATTATGATGCTACCACATAATGCTCCTAAATGTAGGCAAAATTTTTTATACTGTATATACTGACTCAGTCCCTTATTATGAGTACTCGTCATATATAGAAACCAGCCTACGAAAAAAGGCGAAAACTTAAGTGCGGCTTCTGAAAATGTGAATAGAGTTTAGGTCCTGATATGTAGATATAAATTATGTACAATTTTCGATAACGCTTCGGTAATTTCGATGCCACGTTCTTGAGAGCCAATTGTCAAAAGTAGTGTGAAATTATGGAAATCGCCTAGGTTCTTCATAATGAAAACTGAAGCGAAAATATTCGTGTTCGCAAAAGGTTTTGCTATATGTTTGATGAGTTTGGTATGGAATTATCTTTCATGACTTTCACCCCTACGGGTAAGCTCTTAAGTACTGGTACCGTCTTAAGGAAGTATACATACAAGTACGCCCAGAAGCAGCCAGCTTTGGCGCATAGGGGTGGTTTGTTCAGGACAATGCCACGATCACTTTCCAATAGTGATCCGCCACAAAAATCCAAGCCGGTTGGGTACGCCAGTAACTGGTCTTGCCACCAATTGTTTGATCCTGTATATGGCGAATGATTTTGCAGTAAAAAAAATCTCATGAAAAGAATCTCGGATGCATTAATGACTGTGGAGTTAAGTTGAGCATCAGGACTCCTTGCTAATTTTATGACAAAAATAAAAGCTGACCCATTTCGGGGTTCCCCATTTTTTTAAACAAAGATCACAGCTACGTCTCAGATGGTCCATACGTTGAGTCCAATTTTTGATGACTCGTGCGACCATTTCGACTGATAGCTGGCGAACATGCGTGATGTCGTCTCACCGAAGTGTTCTAAATCCTTTGATCAATGCGATGTGTGGAAACTGGCGACGTTTTCAGCGAAAAATGTACCTCATCACTGAACAAAATTGGCTCGAAAATGTTGGATCTTCTTGGAACTTTTTAAGAGCACATAGAGCAAAGCAATGTCGATTGGCAGGGTTGAGCGGCTTCAGTTCTTTCACAAGATATATTTTGTATGCTTTTTAATTAAGATCTCGAAGTAAACTTCGTCAAGTCCACGTTACTGCGAACGGCACCGAATCGAGTCTCCACGGTGTTCGTGTACACTCTCAGGTATGACTGCTATATTCCTTCACTGCATGCTAGACGTGGTCTATTTCATCGAATATTATGCAACACTGAATGCTGCGTCTGAAGATGGGTGATGGTGTTGCGAATAGAACGCTCAGTATTTCGATTATGTAGACCATAAGTTAAGTGAAGCGCGTGAAACATATTTTCGTAATAAAGTTGAACGATTTGTAAACGTAGTTCAGGCGTAAGTCTTTCCACGAAGAAATGCCAAACAATACCGAAAAAAATGAAATGACCGCTTGAAAGCACTCATGCGTGATCTGTGAAAAAAGGCCATTGAAAAAGTGTATCTCTACTTGGATCACCCGTTAAATCACTAACAACTTTAAAGTTTTGAAATTTTAAAATTTATAAATATAAATTCACTTAAAAATAAAAGTTGCAATTACATCTGCCTG